TCCTCTTATGCATCCTTTCATGTTTAGATGAAATGATCCAAACATTTTTGGTGGTGGTGGTGTGTGTGTGTGTGTGTGTGTGTTGCAAAGTGTCTGGAAGATCCTCCTCTTTCTGCACATTTTTGGTATTGGATTATCTCTCTTTGTAATTGATGTGTGGGAGTCCTTTATACATTGTTTCTAAATCCTTTGTTGAATAGAGTTTTGCAAACATCTTTTCTCTTCAGTGCTTTGGATTCTTAATCTCTTAATGGTGTCTTTCTGATAGACAGTTCTTACTTTTAAAGTAGTCCAGTTATCATTTGTTGCCTTTCTGGGTAATGGTTTTTTGGTTATTTTGCCTATTTCATGTCCTACTATAAATACACACACGTATATATGTATATCACACAAACATATGTATATGTGTGTATGTATACATACACACACATATATATTTGACAAGACTTACTGTCCTCCTTTAACATTTTCATCTCTAATTCATCTGGAATTAATTTTAATATATGGTTGATTTTTTTCATGTGTTCATCTAATTGATCTGGTACCATTTATTGAAAACATTCATTCTTTCCCCTTTCCACTGCCATGTCACCTAGATCATAAATCAAGTAATCTATACTTATGTGTCTGTTTCTTAATTCTCTCTTCCAATCCACTGATCTATTTTTACCCAAGCCACACTGTCCTAATTACCATGGTTTTATACTCCAGCTTGTTCTTTAAGATTGTATTGGATTTTCTTCCCTTTTTGTATTTTCTTTTTAAAAGATTCCTTTATTTATACATACAGAACTGGAGTACAGGCCAGAGGTACGGGGTGGGTGTGGGGGGGGTGAGAGGATTCACAGAGACAGAGTGGGGAGCAGAATAGGTAGATTGACTGAAATACACTACTGAGGGCAGAAGAGGTCTGCTGCGCCATGTGGGTCACCCCCTGGCCGGGTATTGAACTTGCGCTGCAGTGGTTGCAGAGTGCTTCATCGTGCTGTGCTTAAACCCCTTGCGCCACCAGGGAGGGCCCCTCTTTGTATTTTCATATAAATATTCGAATCAGCTTGTCAGCTTTCACAACCTTCAAAAGGATTGGCAGTATCCACTAAAGCTCACCAGTTATGCTGCTAGGTAAATACTTAACAGAAAAAAACCTCCAGGAATGTATTAGCAACTCTACTCATAAGAGTCCCAAATTAGAAGCAACCCAAATGTCCATCAACAACAGCAGAGTGGACTAATAAGTAACTACACAGCCGGAGTGGAATGAGAGGCAGTAGATGAGAATAAACTAGCCAGTGACACACAGCATTATGTGGTTAAATCTCACAAGTGAGATGCTTAAGACAATAAGCCCAAACTAAGAGAGTTCAGACTGTGAGTCCGTGTATGCAAAGTTCAAAAGCTAAGCAAAACTAACGCACACTGTTAGAAGCCAAGAAAGCCAGGTGACTTGGGGAGGGAGAGTCATGACTAAGGTCCTTTGGGTGCTGGATATACCCTTTCATGTTGTGAACACCCAAGTGCAAGATTGTGTGATTTTCTGTTTGCTATTCATATATCAATAAAAAGCTAACTTAGAAATTAATTCAATTAGCTTAGAAATTAATTCAATGCATTATGAACTGAAGGTAGTTACTACCCAGCAGGGAGATCAGGGTTTTTTGTTTATTTGTTTTTGTTTTTGCAAGGGGGGAGGTAGGATGGAGAGGGAGGTAAAGGACGGAGGGGCAAGCATCTAAATTTTTACAAGGTTTTAAAAAAAACTTTTATTTATTTATGCATACAGAGGTGGAGGGGTGAGAGGATTCACCAGAGACTGAGTAGGGAGCAGAACAGGCAGATCAACTGAAGTATAATGCTGAGGGGAGCAATGGACAAGACAGGAGGGAGGTCTGCCGCACCATGTGGGTCACCCTCTGGGGGAAGGGGGGATCAAACTCTTGCTGCAGTGGCTGCAATCGCTTCATAGTGCTGTGCTTTAACCCATTGGGCCACCAGGGAGGGCCTGATTTTTAAGGTTTTATGGGAGCAAAACTGGCCTGGGCATTGGGGAAGTTATTTTGGCTGAAGTCTGAGGAGAATTTCAACTACAGTCAAGGAGCTGTGAGTGTTTTTGAGGCAGGAAATAGAAACATATGAAATTAATGTGGCAAATTGTATTTTTAATTTGAAACAAGGTTAAAGTTTAATTTAAGGCCTGACTAATTTCCTTGGAACTCTGGAGTAGTGGGGATGTTGTAATCTGCGTGGCACATATAAACACTCTCAAATCTCTAATATGAGAAAAAAATATTGACACGTGGATTCCTTTTCCCTCTCTGTCCTTGGGTACACTGAATAAGTTACTAGCCAATGTCATTGTTTAGATGTGGTGTCACCAATGAAGTAGTGAAATGTAGTTATGGTTGTTAAAATGTGAAACTCCCAATTTTTCTGAATAGTAAGAAGTTGCAAAGTAGCCCATGTTGGAAATGTATTCACAGGTAAAGCAGGGGGAAGTGTTGGATACTGTGAAGCAACCAGGGAGAGGAAGATGGAATTTTTTGTCTAATTGCTGGCAATTTGGGAAAATCCCAAAGGACTAAATGTTCTGGAAGAAATTTTGTATAGTAAGAAAATGTCCCTAAATTAGACCTTTCAGCTTAATTCAGGCCTTCTGGAACCCCCTGGCTTCAGGATAGTAGTTTGATTGCTTCTTTGGAAATGTAAACCACTTGATTCCACCAAAGAGTGGGAACCTTGGTTACTTGTACAATGTGGAAGGTTTTCCACAGATAGAATCAACTGCTATTTAAAGCTACTTTGTTGCAAAGAATCTCAGCCTTTGGAATAAGTGTGCGTAAAAAGGATTCTGGAGGTGAACCGTAAGGATTCCAGCCCTGCCTTGGCTATTGGCTCTGTGACCTTGGAATGGCACATCACAAGTTCTTTGGGCTTCCGTTAGGAAAACAAAGATGCTAACATACATCTCAAGCCTCACACACACCTTTTTTTTTAAAGATTTATTTATTTGGGCATACAGAACTGGGGTACAGGCCAGAGGCTCAGGGGCGGTGAGAGACTTCACCAGAGACAGAGTGAGGAGCAGAACAGGCAGGTCAACCAAGTACACTGCTGAGAGGAGCAACGGGTGCGTCGGGAGAGGTCTGCCACACCATGTGGTCACCTCCGGGGCAGGCGGGAATCGAACTCATGTGGAAGTGGTTTCAGCTTCTTAGTGCAGTGCTTTAACCCGCTGCGCCACCAGGGAGGGCCCAGCACACACACCTTTTAAGAGTGTATTGAAATAAATGTTAAAACCCGTAGGTCAGACGAACCCAGTACGGCCCTTCACTCCATCATCGTCACACTACTTTCTCGACACTTTAGGACGGTATCATGATGGACAAAAAGACAGCACTCAGCATCTCCTTTTCTAGGTCATTGTATCCACAGGGAGAATTCACATTTTAATTCCATTTGTACAAAGTTAAACAACAAGCAAAAGTGATGTCTAGTATTAGAAGTCCCGACAGTCAAGTCTTTTGGAGAGGCCGATCATGGCGCATGCCTTGTTGGGTAAGCCCTCCTTCACCTTGTGTGTGTGTGTGTGTGTGTGTGTGTGCATGCGCGGGGGTCTTAACGAGCCAATCACATTGTCACTTGGAGATGCGCTCCATCCTCTGGGAAATTGGCAAGGAGAAGTACGAACCTATCGATTTGTCTGTGTTTTCAAGTCATCTTGAACAGTCAATATATATTCTGCTTTCAATTATTTCTAAAAACCAGCAACCTACAGTGAGAAGTACAATTTGTATTGATTTCAGTACACAGATGCTGTAAACATTAACACACAAAAACCCTATTTAAGGACTGAGAGAAGATGGCTCACGCGTGCGCAGTCAGCAAACTACCGGACCCAACATGCTTTGCACCGCCGACGGGAAGTGATGCTGCTTTCCTGGCTCCGCGGTAGGAGAAGGCTGCAGCCCCTTGGAAGGTGATAGAAGGGGGTGTTGGCCAGAGTCCAAGATTTCCAAATTGCCTTCTTGTTTCCAAATTAGCCCTCTTTGTTGGTGGAACAATCGATTGCTTTTTTGTTTGAGGTCAACAGTATTTATAGATGACCTAAATACTTCACAGGTAATACTTAACTGCGATGTCGCCACATCTGATTTTTTTTTTATTGTGATTTTTTGCTGCCACATCGTGGTTCTGGATGGACCACCACTTGTTTGTTTGAAATGCACAGCTTTAATCCAGTCCCTCAGATATCAGTGAGGAAACTGAAGCACAAGGAGGGGTAACGGAGTTGTTTGAGAAAAATAGTGGGCGGTACAGGGCTGGAGCCAGATGTGTGGACTTCAAAGTGCTTGTTATTTCCACCTCCAGGGTGTAAACTGGCAGGAGAGGCATTTCCTTTTTAAATGATTTCTATAAGGATCCTTCAAGGATCGGAGGTAGAACCTTTTCAGGACCAGGCCCACGGCTGAAAGGAGACACTAGAATAGTCTGTCCTAAATCTTAGCGGGTAGCTGTTACCTGCCAAGTGTTAGCAGAAGCCTCACTCGCTGCAGACCCCCCCCTCCCCCCACCCCCAGAGCTGCCCAGGCTGTGGTCAGAACTAGCTGTTCTTCCTGAGGAACTGAGCAGTTTAAGATCTTGTCCTGCTTTCTGCAAACAGTGGGTAGCTGCTTGTTGTCAACCTGCCCCGGGGTCTGCCACTGTTTGCAGAGCTAGAAAGGATGTCAGATGTAAGTGGCAGTCTTTATGGTGGAGCGGGGAAGACTGGTAGGATTGTCAGGGGCTGTTTTCCTTGTGGATTTCTCAGCCAGGCACATTCTCACCTCTACAGGAATGGAATGTTAGGACTTTCCTGAACTTAATTTTAGATGGAGCTTCTGAATCTCTCCTCTGTGCGCCTGTATAATTTAATGCTATTTCAGTACTCTCTCCGCATTCTGCTTTGTTACTTATTCCTATTCTGATCCTATCTATCCTATGAGATACAGGCTGTGAGACTCATCCTGCTACAGGATTTGGCCCGTAAATGTGGGTTGAATCAAGGTAAGCTCAGCTGTTTCTCAGGAATGTGTTTCCCTGGGAGGAGAATGTCTTTTATTTATTTATTTATTTAAATTCAGGTAAGGACATGGTCTTTGGTCTTAATGTCACAGACATCTAACCCAAGTGGCCATGTTTGACCTTGAGGTTAATGCCTAAAGATGCCCCAGGTTGAAGCTGCTAAAACCAAACTTCAGGTTTCTGCCACAGACCTTATACCAAGACCTTGGCTCTGGCTGCCATTTGCTCTCTGGATAAAAGGCCCACAATTCCACCCAGTCTGTATGTGTGCACCTATCACTCAGCTGGGAGGGGAGTTCTGGCCCCTGATTCAGCCCTTCAACATTAGCAGTTGAAGTGTATTCATTTGTTTTTTATTCCTGAATACATACTGAGTACCTTGTCAGTGTTCCATTGCTGGAGGTCTCCTGGCCTGGTAAGGCAGATATGGACCTGGATCTGACAGTGTTTGTATTCTAGAGGAAGAAAGGCACAGTATAAATATGTAAACAAATGAGATAATTTTAGATAAAGTGTTTTAGATAAAGTGCTAGAGAGAAAAGAAAAGAAAAAGGATAATGAGCTAGAATGATAGAAGGAGATAACTTTGATCAGGGACCTGAATTGCAAATGTGCAAGTAACTGGCAAAAGTATGCAGGTGAAAGGAGCCTGGGGAGTGAGAGTGGGGCTGGTGCTGGCCCAGAAGGCTGTGGAGGGAGGGAGGACCTGAGTCCTCCTTTCTGTAGCCTGGGAGGTGCTTGTAGGCCCCAGGAAGGAGCATGATTGTAGTTCAGATAAAGTGGGAATTTATCACTGTAACCCCTTTCTGAACATTCTTCCTGCAAGCAACAGGTCTGTTTCCACCTGCCTAAGACTTCAGGTCTTGAAGGCATCCTCAGAGCTCACTGCAACCACCCTTCAGGGCAAGGATTGTATTTTCTTGAAATTAAGGAAAAGACAAACAAACAAACAAACACAACAGCCGCTATCATTTGTGCCAGAAACATCAGGACAAGAGAAAGAGAAAGCATCAATTTCCCCATTTTCCCACCAAAACTAGAAGACAGCCCTCATCTTCCATAGGATGGCACAGTGCTTGCCAATGTGTATAATTTTTGTGTCTTTCAGTAGGTGAGAATAAGCCATGCTGTAGTGCAAAATAAAAATAACTAACCAGTTCCTGTATTCTACTTCCTTTAGTCTTTTCCCGGATCCACCCACCTACTCACTGAAGTGAACTTTGTTAACCATTGCAAGAGGCTGGTACTATGGACATGTTTTGAGTGCATTATCTCAAATAATCAACATGTCAACCCTGTGAGGTAAGTGCTATTATTCTTACTTTACAGAGGAAAAACCAGAGGCTCCGAGAGATTAAATAAATTGCCCAAGATTACACAAATTGTCACCCTAGTGAGGCAGGTAAGATCCACACCTAAAATCTCAAAACGCCAGTGCTCTTGTCCCTGACCTGGAGCCCTTTGAAGCTCGGTCAGTTATAGGGTGACTTCCCAAACCCGGTTCTAAAAAAGGAACTTCTGCTGCTGCTTATTTGCATTTTCTTCATATCTGTCTCAGACACCTACTGTAAGTAATGCTGACCATTGACGTGTACAGTTGGAGTTGTGTTTACTGAGTCCTTCAAACGTATGACCTCACTCGATGCTCACAGTCCCTCGTGGCAAGGGCTCCCTTCCCTGAGTATGTCCAGTTGAGAGATGACGAGGGAGAATAGCACCAGTAGGACCCACCCAGGCGCTCTGGGTGGCAGGAATCTCCTGCTGCGTGCCAGGAACATGAGGATGGGAGAGGGCTGATTGGTGACTGGGAGATGGGTAGGTACTGAAGTGTTTTCTTCCTTGTCTCTAAATCTTCCCATGGCAGACACTGCCATGGGAAAGAAGTGGGGTAAATGTTCTCCACCTGTCCTCTGCATAAAGGGCCAGTGCCAGCCATTGCGTGCCTTCAGACTGGACCCGGAGCTTTGATTTCTGGAAGCTATTTGTCATTTCCTATCTTGTTATCTCCCAAGGAATCTTGCAAAGTAATGTAGTCTTCTCATGTCCAGAGCCACCCAGTGGGTCAAGACAAAGATGAGCCTCTTGATTTGCAGCCCTCATTACAGAGCTACCCTGATGGGAAATGGGGGCCCGACTGTGGGTCCTCATCTGTGTGCTTAAAGGGACTTGCAATGAGATCCAACTTCAGGTGCACAAAAGGGTTAATAAAGGGTTTATGTACAAAAAACAAAAAGGGGAAATGAAGAAATGAATAACTCAGGGAGAAGGACAAGAGAGAGAAATTGGTGAATGTGCCCTACCAGTTCCACTGAACGGGGACCCCAAGAGCAGGCTGAAAGCTGGTGAAAACCCGGAAAGTCCCCAAGACTCACATGTTGGGTTACACGCCAAACCTGGCTGCTCAGTGCCACCCTCAGTTCCCAGCATCCTCCCTTTGGTGGCAATGGCATTATGGGGTTTGTAGTTCCTGGTGCCCTGCATCTCCTTGGTCTGGGGTAGGGGGTGGGGGTCCGTAAAACCTATTTGCAGTTTGTTAAGACCTTCTTTCCTCCTAACAATTCCCCCTTCCACTTTTTGCCACCATTTCTGTGCTGATGAAGGTCAAATGTGGGGAAGCAGGGGTGCAGCCTCTGGTGATAATTTTTCTTTCAAAACATACAAACATCCATGCTATGTACCAAAGCAGTTCCACTGCCCAGCTGAATCATTTGTAGCTTCATTAAAGTCTTTCAGAGCAATCACTACAGCTACCCCCAGAGAGGTGGGCCGTCTTCTGTGACTGTGGCAATCATGCAGATGAAGAAGCAGAGTCCCTGTGAAGGCACAGCGGTAGTAAATGGCACTATCAGGACAAGAGTCCTGTTTCATCCAGGGAGAATCCAAGCTTTTTTTCCAACTGCATGATTTTTTTTTTTAACTTTCTAAAAAGTAGATATGAACTAGTCAGCAGCCTTAAAACTCTTTATTTACTATAGCCCTATGCTCCGCCTCTCCAGGATAGTGCACTTTATAGATTTGTTCTCCAAGCAGCTTCTGAGCATCTGGCAAATGGCAGGATTTCTCCCCATGGCAGCTGGAAACCAGTGAGTGAAACATTTACCAGGTTATTGACATAATGCCCCGGGTGTTTGTGTAGGTATCAGACAGGTATAGATCGCTGTTTAACACTCTTTTAAAATGAAAATAAATGTGATAGTAAGCCCCAGATGACGCTAATAGAATGTCAAGGATAATCAGTGTTTGAGTATGCTAGGTTTATGGTTTAGGGAGGGGAGGCAGAGGGGGGTCTCTGCTTGAACAGGTGGAAGGTGTCCGGAGGCCTTTTTGACAAACTAGAGCAGGGAGCAAAGTTTGTAGGTGGGAAAATTACTAACTCCTGGTGGATGATTCTGTACCAGTCACACAAGCCCATTTTGTGGCCATTTAGCGCAGCAATGTGTCAGTGTTTAGCTACTGGTAAAAGAGGTGGTTTTCTAGGAGGCAACCCAGCTGGACCAGAGATATGCAAATCCAAAAAGAAAGAAACCAGCCAGCCAGAGCCAGCCTGTCAGGAATTTTAGCATATCTAAAGAAGGAGTGTGTTAATCCCAGTCTTTCCTGGAATCTTGGCAATTGGGAATTGCAGATACCTAGAGTGTTCCTCAATTAGGGATAAGTAGAAATAGGTGCTCCAGAATCTTAGCTCCCACCTGCTAAACTTTCAGGTCACAGGAAGGTGCCTGGGGCCCTCCCGCCTGTGCCTCCCCTTGAGTGTGTCCCTGGGGAGAAGGTCTGCTGGTTCCTGCTTGGGTTGCTGAGGCCTAGAGCCTGGGGGGCGTGCTGGGGGCTGGGGGTGCAGCTCAGGGCAGAGGACTGAGTGGGCATGACTGTTAAGAGGGGAGAGGATGGGTCCTCACATTCAGATGGGCTTTGGCCAACAGAAAGGCACAGTAACCCTGGAAAGAACTGTCTTGGTAGCAGAATGTGCTAGATGCCAGCTTGTGGTCTGTGCTGGAACAGAGAGGAAGAGAGTTGAGCCAAATGCAGGGAGAGGGAAGACCGTAGCTGGAGGGCAATTGGGATGAAGGGCTTTTCACGTTTATTTCTTTACTTTGCAGTGTGAGAGGGTGCTGGAGGTTGATGCGGGTGGGTGAGCGGTGGAAAGAGCCTCTGAAAGGTCCTGCAGGGTGAGGAGGTCATTGGCAAGCTGGTGACCTTGAGATAGGTGGGGAGGGGGCAGGTGAGGAGGAGGGAGAGGCCGGAGTGGAGGTATGGCTGCGGGGTTCATCCCTTTTCATGAGGGGCTCTCAGAACGCAAGACCTAGCAGCCTTTTTTGCTGTGACTGAGTGAACCAGTTTGGGGTGGGGAGGAGTTAAAGGTTTGAACTGGCTGCAGAGAAACGTAGGAAGGGGGGGGGGGAAGATTCTTAGGTGCAGTCAAGAAAAAGGCTTCCTGAACGATGTTTCAGGCTCAGGGTGCCCCTTGACCCCCTTCACATCCTTGAGGACCACAGACAGAGTGAGGATCACAGCCTCTCTGTGCTCTCAATGATGCAACCATGAGCAAGAGTCACCAGCTCCCGTCTCCAGAGTAAAAATGAAAGTGATATCAGAGACAGCCATTATGAACCTGGACATGGCTTTCCCTGCAGATCGCCTGGCTCGGGATTTTGCCAGCTGTGGTCTTCAGTGTCCCGAGACTGCAAACCCTGGGCACCTCCTTAGCATCCAGGATGGGGCCTCACATCCACATTTCAGGAGGAATGGGAAGCAGGGCAAGGAAGGAGAGGGGTGCGGGGGAGCCCAGGGAAGTCCTGTACGCAACAACTCTGAACTTGCATCTGGAGCTGTTTGGTGCTTCTTTAAGGAAACCCATTAGGTATAAAAGTTACAGAAGGAATCTTTGCTTAAAAATTGCCATCAGGGTACCAAGCTCTGTGTTGCATTTATGTTAGGTATTTAATATCTGCAGAGAAAATTCCAGGAACACCCCCTGGGCATGATGAAGGTGGGCTGCCTAGAGGAGCTATTTTCCTCTAGAGGCAGCTTGAGATGGGAATGAGGTTCTTCTACCTGGAAGTGTGAAGGAAGGAGTTTCTCTGAATTGGGAGTGCCCCTCTCCAGCAGGTAGGTAGGTCTCTTTCCAGGAATTGCTTTGGGCTTGGGTGGAAAAGAGACCAGCAAAAACACATGGTCCCAGTTTATGAAAAGGGATGAGCACAGTACAGGACTGGAGCCTTGTGGTGACAGCAATCAGGACTAGTAGCTGGAGGGCGAGGCCATTCTAAAAGTAAGTGAAACAGGTGAGTGGTATCTAGTTCGTGAAATACAGTGTGTGGTGTAGGCTTGCGAGACCCCTCAGGGACCAGCAGCACCATGGAGAGGGAAGAGTAGATGCTCAGAATCCTAGTTCCACCACTTCTCAGGCTGTGAGTTTGGGCCATTGTTGCTCTGAGTCTGGATTTGCTCATTTGAAATTGATTATGACAGGATCCAGGTTTGAAAGGTGATCTGAGGATCAAGAAAGGTAATATAATTTGAAGTCCTGTGCAAATTGAGGTATGCATAACAAATATTAATTATTTTAAGATTTATTTTTATTTATGTATTTAAGAACTGGCGTGTAGGCGAGAGGTGAATGGGGGTGAGAGGAGTCACCAGAGACAGAGTGGGGAGCAGAATAGAAGGATCTACTGAAATACACTGTTGAGGGGAGCAGTGGGCGGGACAGGAGAGGTCTGCTGTGCCATGTGGGTCAGCTCTGTGGCCTGGGATTGAACTTGTGCTTCAGTGGCTGGCAATAGCTTGATAGTGCTGTTATTATAGGGCAGGGAGAAAGGGGCACCCCTGTACCCCCAAACCTACCTGCTCTAAATAGGTTCTGCCATCCGCCACATTGACAAAACATATAAGACTTGAATGAAAAGGAACTTTAATACAGTGGGTATACCACAAAGAAGACAAAGAATGTAATTTCTAAATCAAACACCTGAAGTTATCCATCCCCTCAAAAGCAAGGCCTGAAAGCTGCCACAAGACTAGAGCCGGGACCCATAGAAAGGGGTCAGAAATGGCCAGATAAGTTGGGGAGAAAAAGAACACCATCAAAATCAATATAAGCTCTGCTATTGTCAACCTCCCATGGGTCTCTCACCCACATTGCTTTCAACCAGTCCAGGGTCAAGAAATAACATGGTTTCTTCACAGTTTCCCTTGGCTCCCTGTGGCTTCCTCAGGTCTCCTGGCTCTCCATCCTGCTTCCTTCCTCCTCAGATTCCTTCTCTTCTTTCCTTTTCCCTGCTCAGCTCCACCCTCCTTGGTGGGGCAGGGAACCTGGAACTTCCCCTCTTCCTGCGGACCACCTGTTACACTGTGACTTAACCCTGTGCCACTAGGGAGGGCCAAAATTAATTTTCTTAAGCAGAGACAGGTGTGAATAGATAGGTATAAACTGAGGTGTGCACCACATTCATTTATTTTACAAACTTTTGATGTTGCTCAAGGAATGTGAGGACTCTTGTCAGGAACTAGGGTTACAAAAACAATCAGATGTAAATTTCTGACCTGAAAAAACACCCCTTGGAGTGAACCAAGTGCTCTGAAAGGAAGAGGTTGAGGTACACCCTAGCCTGGGGTGTGATATGAACTGGGCTGGTGTGAGAGGGTGAGTGGTAGGCCAAGAGAGGGGCAGAAGCTGTGTAGTGACAAGGTACTGCTAACTGGATAACATTTGAGAGAATCTAAAGGGCCAAGGTCTCCCATAACCTAGATTCCTATGGTAGCACGTGACTTAGGGGTGCCCACAGACCACAAACTGTTACTGGTACCTGTCTTAAAAGGGGTTCAGCCATCAGCTGCACAGAGGCGAAGGAAGTGGACTCTTCATATGCAAGATTTTAATGGGTTGCATTCGGATAGAGAGAAGAAAGGGGATCCTGAATAAGTTTCCCTTATAAAAACACGCCAGCTGCCCATTCCCTGGTAAGCAAATGTCCTACAGTAAGTCCTCTGAGAACTGAAAGCTTTTTGCAAGTCTAAAGTACCTTCTGGCAGGGAACCAAACGAATGTGGTTACGCAGATCCCAGAGAGCTGGTTTGAAGCGGTGATGCAAAAGTCAAAATCAAAGTGTAAATCAGGATAACGGCGGCCACTGTCCAGACCAGGAGAGCCGCCCATGCATCTCCCAGGAGGTCTCTTCCAGGTATCCCTACTGTGTCTCTGCATGTCCCCTCCAAGTCCCTGAGGGAGGTGGGTGCTGGGCCTGCCTTCCGTGTTCTCCATGGGCGGCCTGGCCACTCAGCTCTGTCTGCTAGTCTCCAGTGGCTTCCCAGCTCAGGAATCCAGTCTTTGGCACTGGGACTTGTAGTCCAAGGTGGCCGCATGAAAGTGGGCCAAGGAAATGACACCTTCTACTGGTGGAGGTTTATCTATAACACCTACAGAAGGAGAAAGAGTCAGACTTCAATTTCTTTTTGCAGTTCTCATGTCCTGAAAAACAAATGGTAATGGTGTCAACATATGCAGATACATTTGAAGATACATGATGAAGAAGAACATGGATTGGAGCATCGGACAGACCAGAGTGGAAGCCATGACACTCTCGCTGTGCCTAACTGCTGAGTCTTGACCTCTTCGTCAGTGAAGTGGGTATAACAGCACAGGATTCATGGTATGTTTTTAAGATCATCATTATTATTTTTTTATTTATGCATACAAGAGCTGGGGTACAGGCCAGCGGTGCAGGGGATGAGAGGATTCACCAGAGTGGGGAGCAGAACAGGCAGATTGACTCTAACACACTGCTGAAGGGAGCAGTGGGCGGGTCAGGAGAGGTCTGCTGTGCCGTGTGGGTCAGCTCCCTGGCGGAGGATGGAACTCAGGCAGAGTGGCTGGTAGTAACTTGATAGTGCTGAGACTTTAGCCTTTGCACTACCAGGGAGGCCCCTGTTTTTGAGATTATTTAGCTGCTGTTTGCAAAATGCTTTATACAGAGCTGGAGTACCTGAGCCTGGTGCACATACAAACTACTAATCTGTTCTTCCTCCTTTGTGAGAGAGTTTATAATTTTGACCTTTCAAAATTAAGTGAGGGTTTTTTGAATTGAAAATAGATGTTTGTTCATACCTTTATTTAGTCAATAAATGTCTACAGAGTTCCTACTCAGCTGAATTCTATGGCCTGTTTTGGTGCGTATTTGCAGATTATACCTTAATGTGAGTAAAGTACATAGTTTGCTCATAGGCCTTTCAGGTGCCCTAAATGAACAATTAATTTTGGATTCCTTTAGCAACCAAATAACCACAGTTAAGAAAGTGTTTGGAGGTGCGTTGTGGTATAGTGGTGAGCATAGCTGCCTTCTAAAAAAAGGGTTTGGGCACTGATGTCTCATTTCACTTCTCATGAAATCATTGGGTTTTGCTCTTATACCTCCACCCTGACATCTGATGTTGTTGTAAGATAAAATCACCACACTATGGTAGACAGCAGCTATGAAATACAATGGGGAAGTTGGTGGATTCAGATATACAGGGCAGACATACCTATAACACTCATGCCGCAAACTTAAAATTGAATTTCCCTGCAGTCGAGGGGGAATGAAAAACAATGATTAAAGGTCACAGTGGGCAGTAAATACAAGTGAACCTATTCAAGGGTTCAGCTGACTCCTTCGATGGAAATCTTGGAGAGGTTCTGACATCAAACTTGAAGGAATGATGAAATGAAAAGTACCTGACAAACTGAACTGTCACCAAAGAAATAGGAGTGTTCCTCATGTGACTGTCTCCTAGACAAAGAAATGCCAAGATAGCTGGTGCCGATGCATTTAGATGATAAATAAACATGCATGGTGAAGTCACTAGGCTTTGCGAGGCTCCGTGTGATTTAGGAACAGCTTGAAAAGCATCCAGGAAAGTGACGTGTTTGCATTTTCTGGGATTGTGTCCTTTGAAGTATTAATTGTGTCCACTGGACTTTTGTAAGGATTGGTGAGCAGAAAGCTATTGATCTGGTTATAACTTAGATATCTTAATGTTGCTGAGATGGGCAAAAACATGGCAGAATCTAAACACAAGGAACAGACTGCCAGCCAATCTGTTGAGTGAAGAAACTTTTATCTTCCCCACTATATGACTCTAATGATGTTAAGAACATTAAGAAAATTTGAGGACTTTCACAGAGCTTATTTTAATTCTGCTTATTTTTCTTGTTCCTTTTTGTCATTTTTTGCTCTGGTACTAAAGGACACTTAAAAACACCAGCTTGAAGTTGTAAGCACTTGTTCTGCAGTAGCTACAATAGCTTTCACCTGGAAATCAAGGACCTGGAGAATCACTGGGTTGTGGGAAAAGTCTGGAAAAAAATGCATCTTGACCGTTTGGACAACCCAACACAACCTATGTGAAAAGCTACATCCAACCTTTACTGTTTCCTGTGAAACTTTCAGAAACATGCCACCCTCCAGGAATAATCGGCTCAGTCAGGGAAAGTTGGAAAATATTTTCGAAGATAGCAGTAGAAGTGGTTTTGTTCATTTATCAACAAATACTCATTCCGAAAGTGTTGCCGAGCCTCTCACACCACAATGTGCCAGGCCAGGGCGGGGGCTGGTTGTGGTCACAGATGCAAATGTGAGTCAGTCAGGGAAGAAGCAGGGCTGCGAGGGAGTAGCGGTGTGCCCAGAGCCACAGGACAGGGCTGGAGCAAAGTCCCTGGAATCCAGAGGGAGACGTCCCGACTAGCCTGTGAACTGGAGAAGACATCCCAGAGAAAGGAACACAGGCTCTATCTTAAGGAACACAGGCTCTATCTTGAGGTCCAAGTGGCCCAGGAAGGGGAGAGAAGAAGGACAGCCCATACAACAAGAATGGCATGTGGCAAAGGGCTGTGATCCTCAAAGAGGGGGTGACAGAAACAGAAGAGCAGAATCCATCTGGTGTCAGATCTGAGGGACCCGGGGTGGTGGGAGATGAGGCTGGAAGCTCCACCGTTAAGATCCATGTGTGGTGGTTTGTTTTTTAAAGATTTATTTATTTATTCATACAGAACTGGGGTACAGGCCAGAGGTGCAGGGGCCGTGAGAGGATTCACCAGAGACAGAGTGGGGAGCAGAACAGGCCGACTGATGAAGTACATTGTTGAGGGGAGCAGCGAGCGGGTCAGGAGAGGTCTGCTGCACTCTGGGGATCTCCTCTGGAGCTGGGGATTGAACTTGCACAGAAGAGGCTGCAGGTAGCTTGCAGTGCTGCACTTCAACCCCTTGCACCACCAGGGAGGGCCCAGCACTTGTTCTTACTGGACTGTCCTGGGGTCAGGTTGAGCGTCAGGATTCAAACAAACAATTTGCGATGTTATTCTGGTGTGCGGCTATAGGAGAGAATTTCCTTAGGCGAATCTCACAGAAATGAAAAGGAACTGTGCAAGGGCTTATCGATCGATGCTGAGGTTCTGAAACCTTCTCACTGTTCTTTTGCTACCTCTACATCCTGTCTTTCCCTTTCAGTGAGTCTTTTTTTTCAAGTGGCCCTGTCAGTTCAGGTCACCATCAAAGAAAGCAGACACTTGTCAGTACTTCACCTTTGGCTCTAAAAGCAATTCAGTCTCACCTTAATAAAATCACGCCAGTACGTCTTCTCCCGGGCAAAGCAGCGTCGGTGTGATAGGCAACTTCTCTAGTCCTCTGGCAAACACTGCGCATGCGCATATTCTGAGTGGGAGAGTGGAAGAGAGGGCATATTCTGAGTGGGAGAGTGGAAGAGTGGAAGAGGGAAACAGGGAAACAAGGTGAAGTACAGGTTTCCAAGGAGTAATGTGAGGACATTTTGGGATTCAAGAAAACCTTGGTAGGCTGGGTTGGTGCCTGTTCGCTCTGCAGAAATTGCACGTTAAAGTTCTGAACCCTAGGAGAGCAATTTCCACCTTGTTTTAATAGCTGTTCACGAACGCCTCTCTCTTCTGTTTACGTCTTCAGTGTTATCATGGGAGTCACAGAAATGTTTTAGTCAGCATCCATAAGCTAAAGGTCGCCTTTCTATATCCTGACAATCCAATGGACTGCCTTCAAATTAAGTCCTGTTGGGTGGTCATTCCACACGTATTCCATGATGACACCATCTGCAGGGATTCACCGGAATAGTGGATTTGGAGTCATCAAGGGCTTCATCCCAATAACCACTTGTCCACAAGATAATGATGTTCTTTTAAATCCAAGATCAGTCCCAATCTGCTCTTGTTCACCATTTGAGACGAAGTCCCCAAATCTCTTTTGGTCAAGTTGAAGTCCTTTCACCTGTCCAGTTATCTAGTCCTGTAGCCCCTCATCCATCCAACTCCCCAACCATCTGCCTGTTCTCTCTCACTCATCCTCAAGCCACCCATCACCCATCAAACTGTCTGTCCTCTTCTCCAGCTGTTGTTCAGCCACTGACTCTTCAACCAAGTTTAACTTTCTAGTCTCCAAAGTCTGTTTGGTATTTCTATTACTCTCCCTCAGAAAATTTCCTTACTAGCCCATGGAGAGAATATATTACTTCATTATTGCTATTACTGGATCAATTGACTCATGATGTTAAAAAAAATTGGGGGATTTTTTTGTGTCTTGTATTGTGCTGGTGACTGCTACGTCTGCAGCCTGAGTGGAATCTGAGGTTGAGTATTTTCCTAGTGAAGAAGTGGAGTGGAGAATGGGACAGGGCCTTTGAGGCATAGGGCAGCTGGTGAAAAGTCTTACAGGTGGGAGATTATAGCTTAAGGGCAAGTACACATAGGTGCTAATGCCAGGATCCAGGGTGGGGGCACGAGTCTCTGGCATTCCAGACTGTAGAGAGATACAGGTGGGTGATGAAGGGTCTTGGGTGTTAGGCTCAGACATCTAGAGCTATTAAAGGGATGCCTTGTTGTTATATCTGAAGTTGACTTGACATCCTTTGTCAAGTGTTTACACCTCCACATTTCTAGAATTCAGTGGAGCGATGATTTCAGATCCATAATGCACAGATATGGGCACCAGATTGCCTGAACTCAGGGTTAATGCTCTCTGCCACCCCTTCTCTCGCTGACTCATTTTCCTTTTTCTCATATCTAATCTTTCTCATTCAGCCTATTTCTAATACAGATCTGAAAACCAAGTCAGAGCTCAATAAATGTTTGTCGAATGAATCACTAATTCCTGTTGAAGGTGTGTGTTTATGTGGGTGTGAAAGGACGTCTGAATTTTTCTCTCTATTCCTGGCCTACTTAAAGTGGCATTGGAAGAAAGTCGATTAGCAATAAAAATCAGACTTTAAACCCTAGCTCTCTTGCTGACATGCCTTTTGGCCAGGTCTCTGCATACTCTTGGGCCTCTGCTACCTCCTCTCAAGACTGAATAGTTTGCAGCTTACCTGATAACCGATGGAGTAGTTGTGGGCTGTGAATGAGTCCGTGCTGGAGAGGCCTTGCTAACTTGGAGCACTGTGCCTTCACAGGTTCACATGTCTGCTGGGCTCCCAGCGTGTGTGATCATATTGTATCTAGACAAAGGACAGTCTCCTCGTGCTGCTCCATCAGTCTGGGTCATTTTGTTTGAAGGGAAATGGAGACAACTAAGTATCTGACTAGAAATTTTTAACACCAGAGTCACTGCCTTAGCAGCACACAGTAGGTCCACCTGGGGGATCTGTAATAAAATGA